AGAGGTAGCTATACAACCGTCTTAGTATTAGTTTCATTTTCAGGTTTGTTTATTCCATTTGCAACGTGACGTTACGAGGCAAAAAAAAAATCACTTTTACAATGGTCTCTCTTGAAAAGAGCCCACCCAATCTAAAATTTACAATCTAAAACTTTAGATTGATTGACACCGAGGCTCTCACTTTCTCGTTGTATGAATTGCGACTAATGGTGGCCACCAGCTAAACATATATTATTAATAATCTAAATTTGGTTTTCAAAAAAGATTACGTTATTCGTAACGTAATCTCTACGTAATATTGTTGCTACACGTCGTGTTAACGTCGTTTTCTGACATAGCCTAGCCACCATATATAAAACCATAGTCCTACGTTATTTATGGCTATGATTAGGCCTCTAACGTTTTGTGTTTGCTGGGCATAAACACTCTCGCCTCATCTTTGATGATTCTTTTGATTTGCGTCCCACGCCCCAAAGACTATATCTAAGCCATTTTTATTAGGTTTATAATGCTAATCTGTTCTGCTTATTAGTTAATATCTTTTGCTATTTTGAAGGTGATCTCAAGTATCTGCGTTCAAATCTCCCAGCAACAGCAGTAACAGAGAGGTTTATTTAAAAAAAATTAATCAATGTTATATCCTTGTTTAGCGGCGACAGGGTGGGGAACACGTACTTATATGCCACATAGGTATTTGGCTACAAAAATATAACAGACGTGCTCACATCTGCTTTCATACTCTATCAATTTGTGTGCTGGTTTGGTTTAGTATACTTTTGGTTGGGTTTAGTATACTTTGGCACAAAAAAATCCTATATCATCAATTAGCCCTTTAGTAAGTATAGTGCATTGCATTTTAGCAATAGTGACGCGTGGATGGTAGAGAGTAAGTAATAAGAAATTTGTAACAAAAAATAATAGACTCTACTCTATGTTCTAATAGGAAAGGAAAGGTCACGCTCGTCGCGGGTGTATCTGATATTCTTTAAAATTACAGCATGGTATTTAATGTTCTCTGTATTTTTTTATTATTTAGAAATGAAATGGTATTATTGTACACTGCGAATATAATCAAAAGCACATTGTAAATTTACGATATGTCGAATGAAGGTAAGAACATATAGTCCACTGTACAAACGAGTTTTGATTTGTTAATTTAATCTTTTTATAATTTGCAATATAGTGGATTACAGTAGGTCTATAGAATTTGGTGAAGTTTAATTTGATAACATTTCTTGCAATGATAGTAAAATCGAAATTGAAAATGCTGTCAGTATTTATTAATAACCGAACGGACTGGAAATTATACTCCATGTATATGTATTGTATTGCACGTCCATTGCCTGGAGCTGTGTTGATGATGGCCGGCCATCATCTTTATTAGTATTATCACCTACAACATTTTTATTATATTAATGATAAGGATGAGGATGAAAACGATGGTAATTATAGTGATGATGATGATGATGATGATAATGATGATAATGATGATGATGATTATTATTATTATTATGAAGATGATGATAATAATGATAACGATGGCGACAATGACGAAGACAGTGTCATGGTAATGAAGATAGTTAATGAAGATATGCTATGTCGACCAACTTTTATTATAACAACAGTACAATATTGTCGATCAACTTTTATTATACCAACTGTAAAATTATTGACAACAAAGTATTCGGTAAATAATATAAAATGTACCTCAATACTCATGTTTGCAACTTTAGCTAAAAATGTAACTGAGGAAATTCTTTTTATATAAGTTGAAAAAAAAACACGTAAAAACAAACGTTTATTTTTGTAAATCCAGCTTGGTAATTTAAGCTATTTTAACTGATATTATAATTGTTATTAACAAATCCCTATATAATTGCATTGGTATACTTTTTTTCCTCATAGGAATCACAGAAGGCAACTTCAGACAGTTGCTGGTCGACACGGCAGAATGGTAGGATCGGCTTGGATACTTGAATATGTTGAAAGTTCTATACCGAGACTATGTGAGTGACAGTTATCAGTTGAGTAGTGCTACTACGGTGATGGACTTACTACGTATGTTAATTGGTTCTGGAAATTTGAGTTCGGTGAATCTTACTATCCTATACGACACAGTGAAAACAACCCAACAATTTGGCTTTGAATCGAAAATCAAGGATAAACTTCCACCATTCAAAAATATCACGGAACGTGTAGTAACAAGTTTACGCAAAACAGACTTACACTTTTAAAGCTGGGAACAACACTGACTCAAGATGATGTAGCAAGGCTTGATGGAATACCGTATACAACATTCCACTGTTAAAACAATATGGAGACAGTTGGAGTTTGATTTTGGATCTAGAACACAGAATGGAACTTAGTGATGGAAATATGGACAACTTTGTCGGAGTGTTACAAAGTAATGGTCTGAGCAGGGCAGTGAAAGCTTTAGTTGATGGTATTCCACTATTGCTTGTTAATTCTTAATTCTCTACGTACTTTATATTGATCTAATAATAATAATTTATTATTATTTCTATTATTGAAAAAAATAATAATAATAGTTACAATTTCTATAAAATAGTACGGTACTTAATACAATAATCAGTAAAAACAATATTTTTTCAGAAAATAAGAAAGTACTATTATTAACATCTACAGAAGTTTTTAACCTTTACATTACTGTAGGCAAACACCCTTGTGCTTAACTAAGGTCATTGATGTTGAAATTAATAAATTAATGTTTTTATCAAGGATAATAAAATTTTTATTATAAACGTTTTAGTATGCCTAAACATGTACTGTATCTGATAAGTTCAAATGTCACTGTTCTTTACAGGTGATGAAGCGGAACCATTGATGTTCAAAAGTCCAAACGTAGTGTTGCCAAGCAACCAAGGTGTGTAATTTACAAATTAGCTCACGTGGCATTTATCACATCGTAATAACATTTTTTAACAGTTAAAATTTATGCTAGAAATTAATTTATTATTTGCTGCTAATAATTTTTATAATATTGATTATCAATTGCAGTATGCATTTTAATAAAATACAATTATAAAATTTGTTAATAGATGTGAGTATCAGAGAATATCTACTCAATCGACAACTTAAATTGTGCCGCAATGCAAACCGGTTCACGCCAGCAACTTTGAATACAAGATACCAAGTAGATATTGCCCATATGTTCACGGATCTGGAAGTACTAAAAGAAAATAAAAAGAAGCAAGGTTCCAAGCAAACAACTCTGGATGAAGTTTTGGGAATCATCAAATCATCACCTTCATGTAAAGTTCTTATCGATGGTGAGGGTGGTATAGGAAAAACAACCCTTCTTAGGTACTTAGCATATAACTGGGCTACTAAGGAATCAGATGAAACCTTCAAAGGTAAATTAGTATTCCCTGTCAATATCAGAGATATGGAAGAAGGTAAGGATATCTTAGATGTAATTGTAAAACAAATGAAACTAAAAGATTTCAATTTGAAAACGAATCTCCCAAATGATCCAAGTTTAATAAAAAGATTCATAATGAATCATGATGACGAAATTGTATTGCTGTTGGATGGATTAGATGAATTAAGAGTTAGAAATGAAAGTCCAATTAGCCTTTTCAGAAAGGAAGAATTGGAAAACAGCACGGTGATACTCACATCTCGTTCAGAAAATATTGATGAATACATTAAAGAGAGCAGTGTTCATTTAAAAGTGAAGGGGTTTAATGAACACAACATAAATAGATATATCAAGAAATACTTTGAATACGTGGAAGTTCCTGCATTGGGAGATTCTCTTATTACGGAGTTGTCAGGCTCAATGCGTAGACCTACCTGGAGAAATACACATAATGAAGAATATTCTATGTGTAAGAATCCAATGTTGCTTCTCTCAATATGTATAATGTGGGAAGATAAGCAGCATCTTCCAGCTGATAAAACTGATCTTTTTAAGGAGATTTATCCATCCATCTTGAATCAGTTCATTGAAAAACAAGAACCAAAAGATAAAAAAAATCTCTAGATTCGAGGATACACCAGATAAATATGTAAATGCTATGCTTCTTTTAGGGAAATGTATGTATAACAGCTTAAAGAGAAATCAGCTCTTAATCAACAAGAAAGATTTTGAAGGAAAAGAAGAAACGATTGCTCTAGCAATAAAATTAGGATTTGTGTACAAAGATGTACCAAATAAGGATGATTTTGATGATGTTTTTGCAGCTCCTCACAAGTTAATAGTAGACTCATTGGTAGGATTTTATTTGTACAAACTATGTGATACAGCAGGTTTGGGAACTGAGGGTCTCGGATATATGGCCAAGTTACTTAAGCCATTAGATGATAATGAATGGGAGATAGTAATAGAGAGTGAATATTTTCAGATAGCAAGAGAGTGTACTATTGGATTCCTAGGGGCTGATGCTGGAAAGTTCTTGAAGCATTTGATAACAAATAGTTTCTCAAAATATCGCTCTCTAATGGCATATGTAGAACTTGTGAAAGGCGGGCACAAATCTCTTGTAATAAAAGCACTTGATGATCACTTTACCAAGAAAGGTTTAAAAATAAAGCGACATACTGCTGACATTTATAAATCACTTAAGAGATTTAAAAATAATTTCAATCCTGATGTGCAGGAAGAGGAAGAACATTTCATACATCTTATGAGAACAATTTATGAAATAGTTCCAAGGATACCCCTCTCAGAGTATTACACGAGGCATAGAAATAGAGTGGTGAAAACTGTGATTACTCCCCTTAACAGTTTGTGTAAAGGACTGTCAGCTGAAAAAAGGGGCAGAATGTTTGCGCATATTATGCTTGCTGTACCAGACCAACGTTTAATTTTGAAAGCTATCCATGAAGTGTGTGCTGATGATTATATTAAATACCTAACAGCTGAATTTCAGAAACTTAATCTGAAATATGATTTTACAGAATACAGATTGCACGGTTCCTCAGCTGTCCCTATTCCACCAATTACTGCATCATCTTTATCTCACCTTTTGATCAATGCACCAAAACTTACATCACTATTATTGATTAGATGTGTTACATGTGTTGCTTTGAATGATGTGATCAGAACATTTTCTAGCAGAGGAGATAAGTTACAATTAAAGTGGTTGAACATTGGTTTTAATAATTTTGGCAGCATTAATGGTTCAGTGTTGGGTTCATTAATGGTTATTACTCCTAAGCTGAATAATCTTTACATGGAACACAGTAACTTATCAGTTTTCATTTTGAGTGATATGATCAAAGAATGTTATAGTAGAGGAGTTAAGTTGGAGCTAAAGAGTCTTGGAATCAGTGGTAATGACCTTAGCAACATCGATGACTGTTTAATGCATTCTTTATTGGCTATTGCTCCTAAACTGAATCATATTAACATGAGCAGATGCAGTCTATCGGCTGACACTAAGAATGATCTGAGGCTGATAGTCAACACGTATAGTATAGAATTGCATTTCAATTATAGGCCTATGGATGTATATAACGTGTACTCCTAGTTGACGAATCACCGTTTGTCTGTAGTAAGCCATACATAATATCATGATACTATGAAAACATTTATGTTTATCTTCAGAATAAATTCTGTGCATTGACGTATGTAAGGTTAAGTAGGAGTTAGCCATAAAACTCTGTGTATAGAAAAAAATGTGTTCATAGTGACTAGAACTATTGTAGACCAAGAGTAGATTTTAATTTAAACAATAAATATGTTTATTAATTTCCGTAAGTTTTCCAATCTTGATCATCCCAAGGTAGTTTATTTATACATTTGCTCGCACAAAATTGTTTTAAAAGTTATTGCTCATCTGAAGGTTTTGAGTTTTATTTCTGTCGAAATTTTTGTTTATTATTCTCAGGAATTTTAAGAAACATTTATGTACATGAGAAGAAAATATGTTTAAATCTTTAAATCTTTTTTATATATTTTATTTATTGAAATGGTTGATATTGTACAGTACTAACTTTTATATTTAAAAATACAACACGTCTAATTTTGATTAGCTCATTTAATAATAAAAATTATATACTTCCAATAAGACACATGTTACAAACATTTTACTACAAATATAATTAAATTGATTAAGGCAATTGATTTTCATTTTGGAAATTCCGTTGGGCTGATGTGGTTTCTCCATGACTGGTGATGTTGGGCAATGTATAGGCCTATTGATTGAAACAGTTTAATATTGTGAATGTATTGATTTTAATTTGGGAATATGTTTTAGGATTCATTTATTTTCTTATGTTCCAATCACATACATAATGGCAGCATAGCTCTATTTATAAGTTTATTAACCAAACAACGAGCTTACTACAACTTAAAATCCGTTGACTTTTTTTGGCCAGAGCTTCGACTCTCTGCAGCTCGAATGTGGGTTGGTGAATCCGATCCAAGTCATTGACTGGCTTCGATCGCATCATCAATCCCCATACTCATCCCACCGTCAGTCACCGTCGTCACCAATGGTGGCGTCAGGATGCTCGATAGGGGTTACGATGTCCATTGTTGGTGGGAGGTGGGGTGGTCCTTGACAAGAGCGTAAATGAGCGTGGCCAGTGGCTTCCCAGAATCACTTAAAGCGGGTAGGGTGGGGGGAGGTGGCGTACATGTAGCGACGCCCCAAAAACAATAACAAGTGATTTGAAATTTAATCGGTTTTAGAGTCTCAAAAAAAGTTCAAAGTTATTAACTAGGGCCGTCGGAACCACCCCGGCCGCACCGGCTTTTATTATTTTTAAAATACTTATACTTTTACCTATAAATTATATTAATAATTTGTGCACTTCAATGTCATTCGGATGTTTCACCATGTACCGGTACGTGTTTTGTAGTGCACTATTAGCCTATGCATTTCAAGCTCCTGTTAGGAATTAATTGAAAGCTTTTTTGAAATTTGTGATTTTAACAAAATTTGCTCACCTTTGCCTATGAGTGAACTTTCTATTGTTTTTCTCTGTTTATAATGTAATGTATGTCTACTCAAATCAGTAAGAAGAAAATGCCATATAACTGCACTTCCTAAAAAAAAGTCGGAAACATCAGTGTCGGCGCCACCAGCGGAGGTGAGGGATAGATGATAGGGAAACGGGATATTGGAGTTTCCGTCGAAAAAATAATTCGTAGCGAACACTACTTTTACAGTCTCAGGGTGAAATTTCCTGGCATGGATGGTCGAGAAATTTGGATCTTCATATCGGGAAATCTATGGCGCCGTCACTGCTTTACGTCCGATTGGGGCTGTTGGAAGGCCTGGCAGTGAGGTTTCGTCGGATCTACGCCATATTGTCGAAATCCAGTTTGCCGAATCCCAGATTGCCTAGTCCACTTTGCCGAAATCCCATTTTGCCGAAACCCAGTTTGCCGAAAGTCAGTCGAAAGCAGTGAAACATTAAAAACAGCATAACATTCGTGATGGAGCACTCTTTTACCGTGACTGCGTCTGTACGAACAGGAGGGGCCAGCGGAAAGTAAGAGCATAGACATAGATATCTATTTATTCATCCGTAATTGGAAATTGTTCTTTTCCACTCTCAAAGAAGAAAGAAAATTACATGATTTATCGGGGGAAAAAAGAAACTATCTATTACATGTCCATTTGTTAAAGAGGCAAATTCAAGAATTGCGAAATTGAGAATTTAGAAGCCTTCCAATGCGAAGTACGACACGATCACTGTTTATTCGTATAATAAATAACTGTTTAATAACTGTGAAATAGGCCTGTCTGATAATAATAATATAATAATAATAATAATAATAATAATAATAATAATAATAATAATAATAATAATAATAATAATAATAATAATAATATTTATTCGGCAAAGTAAAAAGTATACATACAATATTCTTGCCAGGAGTAAGTAATAGGCATAAGCCCAAACAGTAAACTACTCTTACTCCATCATCAAAAACAAATAAAATGACAATACAATATAAATATATACAAAAAAGTAAATTCAAAATAAATTGATTTAACTATAACAAAATGAAAAACAGAGATAATTAATAGTTATTATTATTATTATTAATATTTTGAGATCAAGTGTTTTGAGAGCTGGGCTTTAAAGTCCGAAATGGATGTACATTGTTTAATTTCATTAGCATATTTATAGTAAGTGTATAAAGTTAATAAAGATAATAATATGTATACCTAAATGAAATAAGTAAATAAATAATAATAATCTACAATTATACACCTGACTAGACTAGAGCCTCTGTCAGTGTCCCGGCATAAAAAAATATTAATAGAAAGTGTTGGGAATGATGTTTCCATTAGATCTGTTTACAGTCGAGGGGGAGTTTATTCGAGGAAAAAATATACGCCACGGGGTGTTTTCGAAAGAGGGTTTATTCCAAATGAGGCTCTAGAAGGGGCGTTTATTCAAAGCGGAGCGTTTACACGGGTACAAATACGGGAATGTAAATATGGTTCCTCCCTGATCCATCCATCATGTTTTCAAAAGCAGAGTATGCTGTACTTTTGTACGATGGTGACGGAAAATGATTCGGCAAATTGGGTTTCGGCAAACTGGGTTTCGGCAAACTGGGTTGTCAATATTTCGGTGAACTGGATACGGCAAACTGGGTTTCGGCAAAGAGGTAATTAATTCGGCAATCATGGGCTTCAGCAAACTGGATTTTGACAAACTGGTCGGATACCGTTTCGGCCCCAGTGGTAGACCAATTCGAGGGTGGACGCTAATTATAAGGGGTGAGCGCTAAACTAATAATTTGTAGGTTTAGCCTCGTAAGGTACTACTGTCCTTGGCAGCAATTTTTCCTTCGGATACCTAGTTGGTTGTGCACCTGTCTCATAATATCCAAATTACGGTTGAAGCAAGCGTGTATGTCAACTACCGGAACTGTGTCGTAGACACGTCGTCGCAAAAACATCTTCTAAAATATTCAATTTTGGGAATAGTGTTTCTTCTAAGTAAGAAAATACACATATAGGTATGTAGAGAGTGTACCATATACTGTAGTTTTACAAGCCTGTATGCCTTCATGGTGTTAGATTTAATTGCGGTATCCATTGTTGTGTTGTGTTTTGAGTCTTTTTCATACCGTAATTGCATTAAACCGGAATATCTTGAGTGAAAATGTAAACAACAGTAAAAAACAGAGCTAAAGATTTGTTTTGTCACAGACCCTATATCTGTCTCTTATACACATCTGGGTGAAATTTCCTGGCATGGATGGTCGAGAAATTTGGATCTTCATATCGGGAAATCTATGGCGCCGTCACTGCTTTACGTCCGATTGGGGCTGTTGGAAGGCCTGGCAGTGAGGTTTCGTCGGATCTACGCCATATTGTCGAAATCCAGTTTGCCGAATCCCAGATTGCCTAGTCCACTTTGCCGAAATCCCATTTTGCCGAAACCCAGTTTGCCGAAAGTCAGTCGAAAGCAGTGAAACAACACATTCGT